GTTTGGGCTTCAGAACACTGAAGTTGTCCTCTTAAAACATAGTTAGAATCATGGAATTGCTGCTTTGGTTTGGGAGGGACCTTAAAAATCATCCAGTTCCACCCCCTGCCATAGGCAGGGACACTAGATCAGGTTACTCCAAGCCTAGCTGGCAAATGAAGCCCTGGGATCTCACTGGATCCAAGGAGCCACCTGCCCAGAGATTTGCAGTTAGAAACTCCTGCCACCCTGCCCCTGGATACGGGAGTTTAAACTCCTCCAATAATGTTTGGATTGTTTTGTAATCCCCTGAGAGATGGAATGTGGGGAATGGCAGGAGTTGGGAATGCTGAGGGTACCCAGGGATCTGTGACTCTTGCTCTGCCTGTGTTGTTTTGGCTGTTTCTCCATTTTTTGCACACAATATCCCCCCACACATGATGTACCTACACAAGGATGCTCCAATAACGGTTGCTGGAGGAATTCCTGCCCCAGGACTTCTCCTCCTCCCCTCCACACACTGCAATGCCAAGGGAAAGCCCATAAATATGATGATGGGGTTGTAGCAGCTTTCTATCCCTTAATGCTGGTGGGAAAGCACATCCCACATTCCCAGCTCTGCTGGGAGAGCTGCGTGTGGGAGGAACGTGAGCTGTGCTGCTCCTCCGCTGGCTGGCGGGGCTGATGGGGGAGGCAGAGGCACAAATAGTATCTTTTTTTTGTTGAATGTTCCTTAAAAACAATCCAGGCTTTGTTGTTAAGGCCACAACAACAGCGGCCTCGACTTCTTTCAGCTCAGGGAACTTTAAAAGGGTCATTTCTGCCAAGGCACAGGGTGATCTCTGTGCTGCCCTCTCACACCGTGCCTGGGTAAGAGTCTCAGGGGATAAAACAAGAAAATAACCTTTCCTTCCTCCCAAAAATAATTGTGAGGAGGGAGATCACTGCAGAGAAATGTGATCCAGAAATGTGGAATTTGGGACATATAAACAGTAGCAAACAAGTTTTTCTCATTGTAGTGTCAGGATTTTGTGGTTCCACTGGAAGAGAATACAGAAGGGTATTTAATACTCCCAAACCACTATTTTGGGAGAGTGGGAGGTGAAGGCTTTAATGCTTTTCTACATGGCAATGGGTGTTGGAATGAGATGGACTTTAAGATCCCTTCCAACCCAAACCATTCTATGATTTTAAGATAAGGAACAGGGAATATTTATCTCTTTCCTCACTCCATCCCTAAAGAAAGCACAGGCAGTAGCTCTCTGAGCAAAAATATATCATTTGACACTGAAGATACTGTTACATATAGTTTGGGCAGACTGAGGGAAACCTGCTTCCTTTCCTATGGTTTCATGTCTGCTTTTTGTTTGCCCTTTACAGGCAAAAAAGGTCTGTTTGCTCTTGCTAAGTAACCTATGAAACACAGTCCTTCTCTGCTGATCTTCAATTTCTAGACATCTTGCTTTCACCTCCCTGCTCTCAAGCTCAGAATTGCTTCATCAGCATAAATATTCAGACTGACAGAGTCTTAAATGCCTTTTAAATGTCGGCTCATTTCCTCCCTGGTTCTCTGGAGAGCTGGAATTCATTCCCTGTGGTTGGTAGGGTTTGTGGGTTGCCTGGGGTGTGGTTGGTGCTCAGGTACCTCCCCAGGCAGACAAGGACCACAGTGTGCAGATTTTGCAGGGAAAGCTTCAAAATTAGGAATTTCTCACTTGTTCCAACCAGTGAGCATCTCCATCAGCTGGTGGCAGTGCGTCCCCCTTTGTTTCTGGTCCCTCTGTGGTCCCCTGCAAAATGTCTGGCTGCAGGTGATGGTGGCAGGGCTGAAATATTCCCCATCACTCAGAGTCACATCTGCTTCATTCACCCATTTCTGGCCCCAAACCCCAGTATTTAAAACTGGACTGGCCCCAAATCCCAGTATTGAAAGCTGGACTGGTTTGAGTGTCTTTTCTTTTGAGGATAAGCACAAACACTATTCATCAGACTGCAGCGAGGGGATTTGAGGTGAGGGTTCCTCTGCGGGGGTAGGGAGGAGGTGGGTATTTCCCCTCTGAATGCAGCACAATTTCTTTCCCTCTTCCTGTGCAGAAGATGCATTTCGTAGTCTGGCTGATACATACACTGATGGATTGGCCCTATTAAGGGAAGACAGCTGACAGTGGGTCTCTTTTGACAATAACAACAAGTATCAGGCTCTGTAAGCTCCTAGCACCTGAATTGTCCTGGGGAAGCACTGCAGGTGCTGGTGTAACACCTGTGTCTTTGGTGAGCAGGTTATGGTGGGACAGCAGGCAGGGGAACCACCCTCAGCCATTCCCATACAGGAGCACCTTCCTCTGCGCTCCCCTGGTGATCACAGCCTTCTCCTCTGGAGCTTTCTCTGCCCTGGGAAGAGATGTTCTCCTCCTGCACTGCACGTCCTTCCCCTGATATGCTGTAAAATCAGCCAGGAGAGCACTCAAGTGCTTTAATTAAGATTTCTATGCTCTCCAGCTCCCATCCTGTACAACAGAAGGCCGGTGCTGTCAGCAAGGGCTCTTTTAGCTGGAGTCCCATCCCTTGGCTGCTGTTGAGGAAGGACCATGCCAGGATGCTGCTATAGGATGTTTTAGTTTGTAAGGAAATGCAGCAGGTTGTTGCAGTATTTGGTGGCTACTGGAGGTTTATTTTGAACATGGAATAGTCTCTTCTCAGGGGAGGCATTGGGTCAGAGCTAGTCCTTCCACCAGAGGGGGTGTCATGTGCCTTGGGCACTTCATTTCAATATGTAATGTGCCCTTCTCTTTTGTGCTGAGGGAAAGAACTGTTTCCCTCTTCTGGGTTCACCTTCTGGGTCTGGGAGGAAGATTTTTCTGAGCAGAGAAATGCTGTTGAGCTGCTCACTCACCACCTGACCAAGCTCCTGGTGATCACCTTATCTGCAGGAGAAACCTGACCCTCCTTCCTGCTCCTCCAGAGAGGGAGCAGCCACTGGATCATCCCTTCCACCTCAGGGAGTGTCCTTGGTTCTTCTTGTGCCACAGCACAGTTCACAGTCCCTGCAGGTTGGCCAGGGGTTGGAGGGACAACTCAGCTGCTCTTTTCTCAGGACTTTCATTCTCAATAAGAGCAAACAAATCTGTCCCTGAGCACAGCTCAGGAATGTGCAGTGGCAGTGGTGGTGATACTTGCGAGGTGGCTGGTGTCCAAGGAAGATGTGTGGGATGTGGGGCCCAGCCCTCCCTGTTCTGGTGCCATCTTTATTAGCCATCCTTTCTGTTCCTCTGCTTTAGTGTGCACAGGAAACTTGGAATTAATGGATTTTTTTAGAAATACAGTGAAATTCTAATTCTCCCTGTTTCTCCTCCTCTCTCCCTTTTCTTAAATCTTCAGATGGATTTCTAAAGATTCTAGGTTTTCTGTACTCTTGAAGCCTTTCTGTCCTCTCCTACAGCACTTCCAACTGTAAGAATTTGTCCATCAGCCCTCTGATCCCTTTGTCCCCTTTTCCTTGTTCCAAGCTACCACCTTTCTGCCTTCCTTTCTGTTAAAAGTTGACCTGCAGAACTGAAAGTCCCTTTTGAACATCTCCTCCTCCTTCCATCCCTGGCTCTTCTAGCACAGAGTAACATGAAAACAAACTTTTTGAGGTAAGATCTAACACCGATTCCATACTTCCAAGACAATGAGTTAGTTTGATTTTTTCTTTCTCTTTTTCTTTCTCTTTCTCTTTTTCTTTCTCTTTCTCTTTTTCTTTAATCATATTTGAAGTGAATACTTGCAAGTACTTTGGCAAAAGAAATATCACTGTGCCTTGAGAAGGTGTCTTCTGTTCTGAAGCTGGCAGAGTGCAGTGAAGAGGTGGCCTCTAAATTTACCAGTCTAGCACAGGGGTGAGGTGCATGTGGACCATGACATCAGAGTGCATTAAGCACTGGGGAATAAATAACATCACTTTGCCCATGAATCTCCAGTTTACGGATTTATTGATATCTCACTGCAGGTTTGAAAGGGTAAATGCCATTTAAACGGGTTTGGTAATCTACAGAGTAAATCAGTAGGAGCATTTTAATGAGATTTTTTCATGTTTAATATTCTGAATGCCTCTAGAATATTTCTTTTGATGATGATGATTATGTGAACAATATTTCAGTAGTGTGTATCTAACAACACTCATGGACATGCTCTAGAACCAGACATAATGAGGTAACAAATGTATATAACTAATGTAGTTAAAATTTGCTAAAATCAAAATAGTCGAGACCTAGTGAAGAGAAAGCAATTTTTTAAAGTAGTCAAGAGCTTAATTTGTAGTTTATAAGCAATTAAAATATCATTTTATCATAGAATCATAGAATGATTTGGGTTGGACAACCTTCAGTCATCCAGCTGCAGTCAAATGTATATTTGTATATATATAGTGTTGTGTAAACTGGTGAGGGCCTTTTTCTTATCCCTGTGGAGGTGGTTGTTGGTTTGGTCTTGGTTGTGACCAACAAATCAGCTTCATGCTGAAGAGCTAGTCTTGCTTTGGGTTGTCTGGAGAGGTGAGGGAGCTTAGAATCATAGACTGGCTTGGGTTTGAAGGGATCTTAAAGGTCACAGAATCACAGAATCAATTAGGTTGGAAAAGACCTCTGAGATCATCAAGTCCAACATATGACCCAACACCACCTTGTCAACCAGACCCTGGCATTGAGTGCCACATCCAGTCGTTCCTTGAACACTTCCAGGCTCTACCAGCTTCCTGGACAGCCCCTTCCAATGTCTAATCACCCTTTCTGTGAAGAATTTCTTCCTGAAGTCCAACCTAAACCACCTCTGGTGCATCTTAAGACTGTTTCCTGAGCTCAGCTGGCAAGAATGTGCCATCCCTCATCTCTGGGAAATCTTGACTTTGACAAGTAAACCCTTTTTTCCCCTCGCTTGACAGAGCCCCTGTGAATATGTTGGGTCTGACCAGAGTAGTGGAATTACTGGCTCTGTGGGTTTGTTCCAAACAAGTGATGTTGCCTTTGATTTTGTTGTACTTGAAGGTGCCTCATCACCAGACATGGAGTCCAGCTATGGGGGAGGCTTGCTAGATATGGTGAAAGGAGGAGCAGGGAGACTCTTCAGCAATTTGAAAGATAACCTGAAGGATACCCTGAAAGACACATCTTCCAAGGTCATGCAGTCTGTTGCCAGGTACAGTACACCTGAAGCAGGTAAAACCACTGGCTGCAAAGTGCCAGTCCCAGCTGCCAACTGAATAGCACAGCACAACTCCCAGGGAACACAATGAAGGAAGGAGGTGAAAATCACAAGTGGCTTCTTTGATTCTGTCTCATAATTGGTATTTGACCTCAAGGAAGCAGGAAATACAAAGTAAAACAATCTAACCTTCATAGTAAATGAGCATCCCCTTCCCAGTGCAAGTGGAGCACTTGGTCTCCAATTCCTGGAGGATTCCCTGTGGGGTCCTACTCAAATACCACTTGAATATTTTGTCACTGAAAACTGGCTCATATCGAGCCTCCCTTGAGGCTCTACTTGCTGATGTTCCCATCACTAAATCCACCTTTTGAATATAAGAAAGGGCTGAGGTGGCTTTGCTTTGGTGACTCTGCTGGCATGCTCCCCTGTGCTTGGCTCTCTGCCCACTTCCAAGGGATATGGGGCTACAAGAAATTAAAGAAACTTAATGCATGCAAGACTTCAGAGGCTTTGAGGGATCTGCAAAGTGGCAAACTACCAGAGATTTCTCCTGAAAACTGGCACTGAAAATTAATGACAAAAGGGAAAAGGGACCTTTTTTGCAAATCCTGCAGCCAGTTAATTGCATGTGTAGAGAGGAAGGCTGGGTCACTGTCTGCAGGAAGCCATTTGCTCCTTCTTCTTAAGAGTTATTTTTAAGATCATTTTTCCTTATGTGATAAGTAGATTTTTGTGGGAAAACATTTCTGGTTCCTCTAATGTGCTGCTTTTGTAATGTCTGTCTCCTGCTTTGTCTTCTTTTAGTTACACTAAGGGAGAGCTGGATATTTCTTACATTACCTCAAGAATCATAGGTAAGTGCTGCTTAGTGAATAATACAACCTGTGGTATCCCAGAATTACATAAAGACTCAGACTGGCTTCTCCTTGCTTTCCTAGTGATGTCTTTTCCGGCTGAAGGCGTGGAGCTGGGATTCAGGAACCACATTGAAGATGTGAGGACGTTTTTGGATTCCAGACATCCCGACCACTATACCGTCTTCAACTTGTCCCCCAAATACTATCGCAGTGCCAAGTTCCACAACAGGGTGAGTGTCTCCCAAGGGTTTAACAGGAGGAAGGGGTGAAACTCCTTGGGAAAAGGGGCACCAGGTCCTGTTTCTGAGTGTGGCAGAATGTAAGAAGATGATTAAGGAGTTAGAGGTGTTTTTAAGCTGCTGTGGTGGTTTTTGGGTTTTAACTGATGCCTGGGATCACAGGGATTAAAGAGCTGGAAAGTTCAGGGCATAATTCTCATGTCAGAAAGAGGCACTGAGTGGAACCTGCACTGCTCTGATCTCCTACAGAGCTGTTAGAAACTGCTGAAGAGAAGTAAAGAATAAAATGAAAGGGCTTTGAAAGAAATTACCAGTATAAGAAAGCAGATTATTTTCATGTTGAACAATCCTGTGCTTTAAACAAGTAGGAGCCCTTAGCAGGCAAAGCACAGGACTGAAAACTGGTTCTAAGGGACATTTTGGCTCTTGTGACTTTAAAAACCCACCTCCACTCTGTGGCCCAGTTTCCCTCTCTAAAACCAGAGCAGCATTATGGGAGCATTGCGAGGCTCTGGTTCATTAATGGCTTTTAGAGGAAATCTCTATTAAATGCTGCTGGTGAAATGCAAGATTAGATTTAATCTTTCCAAAAACTTCCTGTTCTTTCCTTCTCCCAGAAGGGAGTGATGTGTTTTGTTGTTTTTTTTTTTTAAATTTCTAACTTTTTGTTGCCTTCAACAAAAAAGCCAAAAGCAGTTGCCAGGCTTAACCCTCAGTCAGGGTAAATTAATCTAACCTATAAGCCTAATTTAATTTTAATTTGAGGTATAGCTGAATTTACCTTCAGCAATTGCTCCAATCACCAGAAATCACTCACTCATGAAGCAAATTTCTCAGAGACCTTCAGTAACCAGCCATGACTTCAAAGATGAGTAAATGAAAAGGAAAGACTCATTAAAAGATACCAAGGGCTCTGAATCTTCAGTCTTGATTGGTTCTGGTGCATCACTTGCTGTTGGTGGGTGGAGGAAGATCCATCTACTTCTGAAAGCCCAGCTTTAAACTTCTATTGTTATATGATCTGTCTATAACTCCTCCAACCCTGAGTTTTACCTACTCAAAATCTTAGCAGGTGACTTTGGACATCACTCTCAAAACATGACCTGGTGTTTTGGAACCATTGCCTTGATTCTCACAGGAAAAAAAATGATGCATCTTTTAATAAAATATTGTACTTTCAGGTTATGAGCTAGGAAGTAGTGATTCCAAGTATTTTACATGAAAATGAAGGTGCATAGCACAACACATGAAACAATTATAAGGTTGAACTTCATATATATTGTAAAAGATACTAATGGGTCATCAAGGAGGTGAAATCACCTTCAGAGTGTTTTCTGCTGTGGGTGAAGATGTCAGCATGAAAAACTTTTGAATTCCTACACTCTTTAAAACTTTTTTGTTCCTAAGATCAAAGTAGGTCACTCTGCTGCGTAGTGGCACAGGAGGGAGATGAATTAATGTCCTGCTGGGCTATTTTCCTGCCTGAATGTGGCTGAGCAGGTCACAAAGCCCCAGGTGCCCAGTCTATCGAGGAGGACAGGGGACTATGAGTGGTTGGTGAGGCACTGGGAAAGGTTGTCCAGAGAAGCTGTGGCTGCTCCATCCTTGGGAATGTCCATAGCCAAGTTGCATGGGGCTTGGAGAAACCTGGGATAGTGGAACGTGTCCCTGCCCCTGGCAGGTGGTGGAATGAGATGAACTTTAAGGTCTCTCCCAAACCAACCCATTTTATGACTCCTCACATTGAGACCTTGCTGTGCTTTGTTCTCTCTGTGTCCCCAACAGGAAAGGAGAGGAGAGCTCATATCTGGCTGAGGAAGCCTGAGCAGTTTCAAAACATGTAACACAAATATAACATTAAACAAACCCAAACTTCAAAGTCCCCGATGGGTCACATTCTTGGCACTTGCTGCCCTACTGTTCAAGTAAAACAAGCTCTGGCTGCTCATTCCCAGAGCTCTAGAAGAATTCCTGTTACTTTTCCCCAAGGTTGTGTGCCATGAGTGGTGAGGAGGTTATGTTTGATGTAAACAAAATGCTACATAGAGCAGATTTAATTTCTTAATTGCCAACCAACAGGCAGATGTGTAATTATAGGCAACATAAATATATAATTATGGACTGTTGGGAAATGTATATTATTTACTAGACAAGTGATAATGACTTTTCCAGATGCTTGACAGTGTTTTGGGGTGAGGTTTGTTCAGAAGATCATCAGTGAAAGGGTCATTGGTCATATTAATTCTAAAAGGGAAAATGAAGGATGTACAACAGCAGGAGTGAGACAAAGCACAACTCTTGAGACAGAAGGTGGGGGACGAGTATAATCCTGCAGAGAGGGTAAGTAGGGAATGGTCATTCCCTGACTTCCAAACCTTGAGCATGGTTTGACTTGTTGGGTGCTTTCTACAGCACAAACCTGCACTTGCTCACCAAGGGCACAGCTGAACTTTGGGATATTCTGGAGACCTAAAGCTTTCATGAGTCTAAAAAGTGATTAGATGAATATCTAATTAGATATTAAATTAGACAAAAGTCTACCAAATGTTAAGCAGAGCTCTGCCAGCAGGATGGATGCCTGGGTTAGGCAGTCCTGCCAGCTTGGCCTGTCCCTGCATCCCCTGGGAGTCCTTGGAGCTGTCACTTGACACAACACACAGCTTGGTGGTTCTCTGGTTTGAGTCAGGATGCCTGGTTCTGCTCCAAGATGTTGTGCAGGTGTAAGACAGAACCTTGAGCACAAGTTTTATGAAACCTGGAGCTCTTCCTTCCTCTGAGAGATAAAACAGGTATGGGAACCATATGTGTGTTTAAGAACATCTGGGCAGATAATCTCCTTCCTTCCCTGTTCTCATTAAGCAGGATCCAAATGTCAGCCGAGAGAGAAAACCAGTTCTTTGTCTGTGGACAAACCTCATGACATTTCTCCTTTAAATTTCTTCTAGCCAGAAATGCCTTTTAAAAAAAGATATTTTGATTAAAACCAGATGAAAGGGAGGTGTCCGTCTAAGGCTATTTGATGTGCTGCTTGAGACTGCAAGGACTGTTCTGGAGATAAGTGTTATGACTCAGAACTAGTACATTGATGAATAGTAACTAGACATACTTTAGGATTTGTGGCTTTTCAGCTCTAAGGAATCATTCATTTTCCTGGCTCATATATTAACTATACTTACTCAGATATGATTTTTTTTTTTTTTAACAGAAGATTCCCTTTCATCAGCTTAATATCTGTCACATAGTGCTTGGGAATCCTATGACACAAAATGACTGAGAACAACAGATGCTCAGTACCCTTTGCAAATCAGAGCAGTAGTTTTTAGGGACACGTTGTACAAAGGCTTTAGATATGGCAGACATCAATGTGAGACTGGAGCATTATGAAAGGGCCACTCGAGATAATCTGACATGGAATGTAAATTTTTAAAAATGTGCAGTCAGGACCAACACATCAGTTTTATGTTATTTGACTGAGAATGCTTTTTTGTTTGCCTCCTCATCATTCATGGACATCACGGTGCAGAATTATGCATGGGGAGAGATGCAGCAGGTTTCAAGCACATAACTGTAGGTTGTAAAAGGAAAGTAGGTTTCTGGGGAGAAAGCATTTGTAAAGCAGGCCTGGCTTAATGCTCTTACAAAGCTGGTTTTGTTGCTGTGCCCTTCCTGCAGGTGTCTGAATGTAGCTGGCCAGTCCGACAGGCGCCCAGTCTGCACAACCTCTACGCTGTCTGCAAGAACATGCACAACTGGCTGCAGCAGAACCCCAAAAATGTCTGTGTCATCCACTGCATGGTACGTACAGAGTGACCAAAAAGTCACCAGATGATGAGCCATAAGTCATATTGCATGTCTGGAGTCTGTGTGCAAGGAGGGGCACAGCTTCTAAAAGAAAAAGGGATGTAATAAAACTCACAGAGAGAGATACATCTTCCATGTGCAGCTGTAGAGATAAGCTGGGAGGGGTAACAATGAACAAGAAGCAGGAATGCAAAGCCAGAAAGGTTACAATTGTTCTAGCAATGAATTGTAGAGGTGATGAGGAGCAAAAAGGTTTGAATTTCACCCAAGAACCTACTGTAAGAGTTGTCAGGCTGCTGTGATTTGCCCAGTTGAACAGGTTGTCCAGAGCAGCTGTGGCTGCCCCATCCCTGGAAATGTTCAAGGCCAGGTTGGAGCAACCTAATCTAGTGGGTGGTGTCCCTGCCCATGGGAGGGGATGGGACTGGGTGGGCTTTAAGGTCCCTCCTAGCCCAAACCATTGTGGGATTCTGTGACTTCACATTTTATTTTAAGTAGTTGCAGGAGAAAACGGAGCCTCCAGACTGAAGGTTGATGGAAATTGGGCAGAACACACATAGATGGCAATTCTGTCAGACTGTGAATCTGAGAATGTTGAAGTCTCTTGCTATCAGTACTTGTCAGGCCTGGCTGAAGGAGCCCAGCTGCCTTCTGCTTCTCTTTGTGCAGCACAACTGAAATGGTAAATCCCCCGCAAGGGTTATTCAGCACAGGGCAAAGTGTAGATTGGGCTGCAGGAGAGTAGCGTGATTCTGTAGGACTAATCTGTAATTTACCCCATACAGCCTTTCATACTGACAGCAATGCCCAAAAGGAGAGTTGTGTTCTGCTGCTGGAGCCTAAATTAAATCCAGGAGGCTGTCAGCCCTGATCAGCATAAACTGGGAGGAACGGAGGAAATGACTGATCCCAAATTGCATAGACCTCACATATGAGTCTGGCATTTCTGCCTTGCACAGCACAGCCAGAGGCTACCAGATGTAAATTCCCTTCAAATAGAGAGGAAGATGCACTTGATGCCTCCAGTTCCTGGAAATTAGCTCAAGAATCAAATTCCTTTACTGTCCTTTGAGCAATGAATATCACGATAATGCTGTAAAGTATAGGGAGTCCTTTCCAACACTAACAAATCTGCAGAAGCCCACTTGGTTTATATGAATCTCAGAGATCTTGTCAGAAGCAATTGGAAGGGGCTAAACCTTAAAAAAGGAAATAGCCTGTTAATGTCAAGCAGGTTCCCATGGCCTGGGTCAGCTCCAGCATGGCAAATCCTACAGAAAATGGAATGCCTAAAAGGTGCCTGAAATCAGCAATTGCAGGGAACCAGGGTGGTGAGGCCCTGGCACAAGTTGTCCAGAGAAGCTGTGGCTGTCCCATCCCTGGAAGTGTTCAAGGCCAGGTTGGATGGGGTTTGGAGCAACCTGGTCTAATGGAAGGTGTCCCTGCCCATGGCAGGAGGTGGGACTGGATGGGCTTTAAGGTCCCTCCCAGACCAAACCATTCTGGGATTTTATGATTCTGTATAACTTTTAACTTGTGTCAGACTTTGAGGGGGACTGCTTGCCTGATGGGGCAGTAGCATTCCTACTTCTTCCTTGGAAATGAGTTTTGAGTTCTGGGATCTTCTGTCCCCTCTGACACGAGGGGGACATGAGCTGGGTGCCATGGTACTCTGGCAGGATTGAGCAGGTTTTCATATCCATCACCGTGCCACGAATATCCAGACCTGGATTTTGGAGGAATGGCTTTTTCTTTTTGTTTGGCTCACCAGAGCTGGGGTAGGGTCCATATGACTCATCACCTCCTATATTCCTGAGTATAGGAGGGACTCAGGGTGCTGGGGATACACTGATTTTCTCCTGCTCTTTCTGTATATTTGGTCCATCAATCTGACTCATCCTACTCATCATACCTTCATCCTTAATCACCCTGAAAAGCCCCATAGACTTGTTAAGGAACATTCTGTAGCTTGAGGGCTGTGGAGGTGTTTGGGTGAGGGAGCCTCGGGCTGGATTTTTTGTTTATGAACTCTTCCAGGATAATTCTCTTAGACAAGTACCTGCACATGTGAGATGGGTGTACACTGATCCCTGTAGTCACTTCCAGGCCTATGTTTGAAATAATTGTAATATTACAGTTTGAGAGCAGCCACGAAACACCAACATTTGCAGATAAAATGTACTTATGGGCTTTAAAACCAAGCCTAAACCATCCTCAGCTTTGGCTGGTCCCTGGATATTAACTTTGATCCAGGCTGGTGCCACTCACTGAAGTCCTGGGTATTAAGCAAATGACACAGAACAGAGAAGTCTTCATCAGCTAGTGGTCTCAATCCTAATCTTTCTGGACAAATGATTTTTTGTCATTTAAGGAAGAGCTGAAATGTTAAGGATTTCTCTGATACTGACACACTTTTCTCTCCCTGCCCCTTCTGACAGGATGGCCGTGCAGCCTCAGCAGTTCTGGTCAGCGCCATGTTCTGTTTCTGTCACCTCTTCTCTAGTCCTGGCCCTGCCATGCAGCTGCTGAACACAAAGAGACCTGGAATTGTACTGTGGCCATCTCACAGGAGGTACAGGATCCTGACTAAACTCTATGACGTGTATTCTTCATGCTAAAAACTGCCCGAGTCCCTGTCGTGTGTTTTGGCACTGTGTGCCCAGCCCCAGGCTGAGACAGACATTCAGACTCCACTTTGCTCCTCAGAAATAAGTAGTGAAGTGGTGAACACACGTTGGAATAGGTTGTCCAGAGTGGCTGTGAGATTGCTGTCCTTGGAGATTCCTGGTTGGGTATTACCCCAGCGCATAATCCAGTTCCGAGATAAGAGTTGGGAAGCTGGTCCTGCCCTGAGCAAAGAGCTGGAGAGGTGAACTTCAGCTGTCTCTTCAAACCTGAATTATTCTATTATTTCAGTTGAAGGTGTCCCTGCTCGTTGCAGGGGGTTGGACTAGATGACTGTTAAAGGTCCATTCCAACCCAAACCTTCCTGTGATGAACCTGCGGTTAACAGGGCCTGGGTGAATCCATCTCCTGTGTCAGCTGCATCCCTACAGAAACAGAGGGTAGGTTTTGTGCCAGCTGCAAGGATGCTGAAGTGCATGGAACTCGAGTCCTGGACCTGTGAAAGAATGGCACTTTCACTGGATTTCAAGGTAGACTTTGAGTATGAAATGGAAACTGGTCACCTGGGATGGTGATTTCAGCACTGGCTTTCTCTGCCTGCAGGTACATAGGATATATTTGTGATCTAATAGCAGACAAGCCCATCATTCCTCACTGCAAACCACTCACTATCAAGTCAGTCACCCTCAGCCCTGTCCCCTGTTTCAACAAGCAACGCAACGGCTGCCGGCCCTTCTGCGACATCCTCAGTGGAGAGACCAGGATCCTCACCACTGCCCAGGAGTATGAGAGGATGAAGTGAGTTCTGTGACCTCCTCCCATCCTTAGGAGCTTCATTTTGCTGGAATATGTCTAATAACTTTGTCAGGCTGCCTGATAAATGAAGATATTAATCAAAATTAATTGAAAGTTAGTGCTTAGTGGCCAGAGTGAGTCTGAGGTTGTCATGTGGTGGGATTGTTCAGTGCTGTGTTGGTTTCCCCCCTGAAATAATTTTGTTTTAACTCACCCTAACACCAAGCAGAGCACTGAATGCTCCTTCTCCCTACTTGTCCTGAAGGAGATTACAGTTTTATGTTGACCCTGATGATGGGTGGTAGGAGGGACCTTAACTGTGGATTTCCTTCTCTTCCCCTCAAAGAGAATACCGTGTGCAAGAAGGGAAAGTCCTAATTCCACTGGGAGCCACTGTCCATGGAGATGTTGTTGTTTCTGTCTACCACATGAGATCCACCATTGGGGGACGTCTTCAAGCCAAAGTAGGAGCTTGTTTAACTTCTCTTGTGTGGTAGAGGCAATGTGAGGAACCAAGAGGTGGCTAAACATGGGACCTTGATAATTTGCCTGATTATATGTTGGAAACCTTAATATTCAAGTGGCAGAGTGACCAGTGAATGTTTTTCTCTTCTTCATTTGTTATTGGTGCTGGTTGCTGTAGAGATAATATTTTCCTGAAGCCTCTACTGCAAGTGAAAGGCTCTTGTGTTTGCCTGGGGTCCAAACCTGTTGCTCCCAAACCTATTTAATTTAATTATTTATATTATTAATATTTATTTATTTATTTTGTTTATAAATAAATAAAATAACAAATAAATAATTTTATTAAATGAAACTGTGGAAACAGTTTCATTTAATTGCAAAACTAATGAGTAGATCCCAGAAATAAAGAGAAGCAGGGACCTGAAGGCTGTGAAGGCTTTCTGCTACATGGAGGCTGCAGCAGCAGGGTTTAAGGCAGATGGAAATATTTGGAATATTTGGGAATATTGAGAAGGAAAAGCTCGGCTGCCTGTAGAACAAGCAGAATGAATTAGCTTATGCAGCAGTTAAGATTAGTCTATATAGTAGCTGGTAGTAGGGTAGACTTAACTAACTGTCTGCATATAAACAGCTATTTTAATTTCAGGAATTTAAGCACTTGTTCAGTCTGGTGCTCTGCAGTTTGGTTTTTTGTTTGTTTTTTTCAGATGACCAACACACAAATATTCCAAATTCAATTTCATACTGGATTCATAGCCCTGGGAACAACCACTCTAAAATTCACCAAGTGAGTATCTGAAGCTGAACGTTAATCATACCTGACACATAAAAGCCTTATGAAGGCTGAGGGAGAACAGTCACAGATGAAATATGAGAAGTCTCTGTGCCTGCATATATTGAAAGACTTTATATAGCTTGCCAGAAATATTCTTCCCTTTAAAACTCTACCACTCTTGTCCCCTTTAGGCCTGAATTGGATGCCTGTGACTCTCCAGACAAATATCCTCAGCTCTTTCATGTTATACTGGACATAGAAATACAGTCCACAGATAGACAAACTGAACTAACTCCCCCATGGGAGAACTTCACAACAAAAGACATCAATCCATCCATCCTCTTCTCCTCTCACCAGGAGCACCAGGACACTCTTGCTTTGGCAGGTAAGTGCAGCAGAGATTTATCCATTTACATGCTTACCTACAGGCTGAGCTTGGTTTAGCTTGATTGTATGTCTCTGGTGCTCTGTGCTGCAGGCAGAGGTCCCACGGATTCACCCCAGGATAACATCAGGAATGTTGGGCAGAGTGCATTCTTCTCCTCTCTCAGCTGGCAAGGTACACAGGCTTGGTCTTCAAAGTAAAATCTGCTTTGAACAAGATAAACAGCTTTTTTTCCCCTCCTTGGAGCACAGAGTCAGGCTGAAGGATCCCATTGTAGCATGGCTTTCCCATTAGATCACAGTGTTGTAGCTGGGCACACCCTTATGTTGCAATTGAGTGGGAATTAATTTCCTACAATGTCCTCTTCAAACATCGCTGGCCTGTGCTGCTGGTCTACGATGATTATTGACATAGTTCTAGTGTGAAGCTTCACCTGAGGCCTCCTTGATGCTAAAACTTTAAATAAACCTTGATGATAAAATTTAGGTTAATCTTTGCAAAGGAATCATGGAATCATTTAGGCTGGAAAAGACCTTTAAGGTCATTAAGTCCAATCGTTCTCCAGCACTGCCGAGGCTACCACTGACCCATGTCCCCAAGTGCCACATTCACACGGCTTTTAAATCCCTCCAGGGATGGGGACTCAGCCACTGCCCTCAGCAGCCTGTGCCAGGGCTGGACACCCCTTTTGGGGTGATATTCTCAGTAGCTTTTGGGGTGATATCCTGCTGTAATATTCTCAGTAGCTTTGTGTTCTGCTTGTAAGCTGACTTTTATGGGACCTTTGTGATGACACAACTAACAGATACCTAATTTTATTTTTAATCATCATTTAGATCAGAAATCTGACAAAAGTAGCTCTCACCCCACCTCAGAGGATCGAGCAGCGTTGGTGCATGAGGAAAGCGAACAGTCAGATGACGAACTCTTGTCCCTTTCCAGTCAGCACAGTAATGCCAGCGGTGACAAGCCCCACGGGACACCAAAACACAGCAAAAAGCAACAAGAACCTCCAGCACCACCCCCTCCTGAAGATGTGGACCTGTTGGGCCTGGATGGCAGCCCTATGAGCAAGAACTTTCCCTCACAGCCCACGGCTGCCCCCTCTAACTCAGACTTGCTGAGTGATTTGTTTGGAGGGCCGAGTGCCCCGAGTCAGAGTGGACAGCCTGCTGCTGAGGAGGTTTTCCATGTGGGGGGACCTGGATCTGTGCAATCAACTCCTCGGCGTTCCGCGGCCTCAGCGTCCCCATCCCCGTCCCCAAGGGTGGGAGAAGGTAATGGTGGTTGTGCCGTGTGGGACCTGGGGCATGTGCTTTGAGAACCCACCGGGTGAGAGGCTCTGGCCTCTTGTTTTCCTCTTGGGTACCCCCATTTCGTGAAAATTAAGAGCTGTGGGGGATCCCAAGAGACCAGCCTTGGTGGTGCATCTTCACAGTCAAGAACATGAACCAGTTTGTTCCCTAAAGTCTCTGCTGGAGCACACCCAAATGTTTGGTGGCTCCTTACACTGACAGCCACTGGAGATCCTCAGTTTTGCTCTTCCTATGTGTCAAAAAATGCATATGAGGAGCTCGTTAGTTTAAAAAAAAAATCCTCTCAGGTTTTGGGTAGACCCACAGCACTTTGAATTTAATTTCTCTTTTAACTTAGTGGGTCTGGAGCTGTGATATTGATCCTGGACTAGGAAATACAGAACATTTGTTTCTTCCAAGACAGACTGGGACCAGGCAGGCAGAAGGAATGGTTGGATAGATATTAGAAAGAGGGATCTTTCGGAGGGTTAAGTGAACAGAGGAAGGGAAAAGAGAACAGAGAAGAATACAAGTTTCAGTGGAAGAAACTGGGTCGCTTTTACCTGGAGAAGGTTCATCTTGCTGTGGCTGTTGTAGGCTCAGTCTGGGGCTTTTGCCCAGGGGTAGGAAGGTCGTGCAGACACATCTCACAAGGCAGAGGGGCTGTAACAGATCAGGAAAATATTTATGGATATTGTTGTTGTGCTTTGTAGAGCCAGGATCACACAGCGAAGTTGTTCCAAGCCAAGAAAGCAAGAATAAGAGCTTGTGAGATGAGAGTAGTAATTGATTGAGAAACATAAGTAATGAGTAGCATCATTAACACAGGGCACAGCTTGTATGGATTGTGTCTCTCTTACAGTAGCATATATTTAATCTCTGTTCAGGATGCTTTTCACCTTAAATTTGTTGACAAGTAAGAACCTGAGTGACTTCATAGGAGTTTGTTTTGGTTGGGTTTGTTGGGGTTTTTACATTAAAGAGAGATGACTGAAAAAATTGATAAAAAATGGAGTTTGAGAAGAACTGGATTTTTGTAACAAGTGATGCTCTGTAGAAAGGACACCAGTTATTTTCTAAAGCATTTCTAAAATTTTACCCTTTTATCCCCAACATTTGTAACCTTCGCCAGCCTGAAATCATCTTGAATTGCATTCAGCTCTTGAGAGGAAGCAGGAATTGCATCAGGGCACTAACTCCAAGCTCTAGGCTGTCCCTCACCATCCATTTATGTACTGGCAGTTTGTGCAAGTTGAAGTGTCTGAGTACTTAAATACTCACTTTGCTTGCTCCTACATTCAACCCCTCTTTGGAAACTAAAGATGGGGTCAGTGTGTTGCCATGACCAAGTCATGGGGCCCTCTAGGATCCCAGAATTTGGCTGGGGTACTGACACCCTCCAGTTGTTCACCCACAGACTCACACTGCCTCCTGTTTGCTCTCTGCAGGTATTAGGTTTTATTCTCCATGCCCCAGTGTCTTTCCCCTGAAGCCAATTAATTGTACAAGTTAATAATTTAGTTTTCTCAAATGTGTTTTTACAGCCACTGCCTTTGATCCATTTGGAAGTAGCCCCAAGCAAGCTGGTCCCGACCTCCTAGGTTCGTTCCTTGGTTCATCTGCTGTCCCTGGGGATCCTTTCCTTCAAGCCACAAGAAGCCCTTCACCGACTGTGCACAGTGATCCCTTTCACATGGGTAAGAAAGGGAGGTTATTCTATATTTAAATACATGTGAAATGTTGCTTTTAAATAGCCATGGAGCCATTAAGTACAAACTGATGCTCACCATAAAATGGCTCAAAACCACAGAAACCCCACTAAACAGGAAAGAGATTTTTTTCTTCAGACTTAAAGCATATTCATCATTTTAAGTGTGATAGGATGAGCCTAGTTTTGCTCAAGTCTTAGATTTAATTAATAAGCTATTTATATAAATGAAAAAAAGAGACCATGAAGAATGTCTGCTCTCATATTCCTGTGGCTATAAGGTCTCAGTTGAACCAAACTACCATTAATTGACTAAATACACACTAGAGAAAACACACATCCTTTGGTGATTTTAGTTACAGGCATCTACTTTCTTTAGATTCTATAATAACCCTGACCAAATTCACAGATGAATTTGACTCTTATGTGAAGAGAAGGAATTTTTTTCCTTTACTGGACTTTCTTCTCTTTGTTTGAAACGTTCCTTCTCCCCTATGCCAAAATTTAATGTTGTAACCTTCTCTGAAACACATTCAGAAATGTATTTGTTTGTGTCTGATCATCTAACACATGTCCTTTGGGTGTAACCATCTCCCTGGAAAGCTGGAATGTCCAAGGAGGCAAGTAGTGTGCTGCTGGCACTGCTCACATCCTTGCTTTTCCAGACTTGGGTACTGGATATTCACTCTGTGATTAAGACATGGGGTCACACTTGTAGCTGGCTGCACTAATGAAGGGAATTTCAATGGCATCTCAGCATGGTGAAGTATTAAATGACAGTGCTGATATCTGTGGATAATGAAATGCTGCCAGGGTGAATGCCTTAGGCATCCAGGCTTTATGTGAGACAGGGTTAAAGGAAGGGCTGTGTGTGTCCTTTTTGGTTTACGACTGTGTAGGCTACTTTGCTTTGTTTGTTTTTTCTTGCCCTTTTCATGTAGAATATTTCCTTGGGTTGAGATGTATTCAGCAACACAACCCCCTATGTGTTATTCTGGTAGGAAAGATTTTATAAATAAGTATATAAAGGCTCTGACCAAAGTTATCATAAAATGAACACTGTAAATCTGTGTCCTTCCCCACTTACTTCTGGATAGCATGAGATCAGAAAAAAAACATTAAAATTGTAATGCCCATCATGGGGGAGAAGTTCACATGGGTGGACACAATACTGTGTCTCCTGCTCTTTGTCCCCTGCTCTTGGACTCATAGAATCCTAGAAGGGTTCGGGTAGGAAGGGACCTGAAACATCATCCAGTTCCAGTCCCCTGCCCTGTGCAGGACACCTTCCACTAGAGGTTCATAGCCCTTGTTCATAGAGTTCAAGTATCTTTTAGCAGACACTGGATTATGTTGGTTTTCCTGTACTACTTTGAGATATTTATATTAACCATTCTCCTCAGCTTCCAGCACTCCAACGGTTTCCATACAACCAGATGTTTCCAGTGGTTGGGACTGGCCCAACAAAGCAGGTATGTATCCCAAAAATTCAGGTTGTTTAGCAAACCCAAACCTTAAGGAGCCCTGAGAGAGGTGGGGCAGAGAACAGGCTCCCTCTTTCTGCTGCTTAAAGCTTTGAGGAACACACCAAAACCTCAGTGAATATGTCTGTTATCTCAGCTGAACTGCAGCAGGTTTGCTGTACCTGTTGTCCTCGTCTCCCAGCCATCCAGGTGAGGATCTGGCTAAAGAATTCTAAACTCCTTCTGTTCAAAAACATCTGGGTTTGTTTCCTCAAAGCCAGATAGGTGCTTGGTGAGGGTGTACATAGGTGTGTTTCATTCCAGTGCAGAGCCACCAGAAGGACCTGGGAAGTGCTGTGCATTCCTGGGATGCCACTAAATAGTTGCACGATTCTTTCTAATCTTGGGATTTGGTATGTCCTACCAAGGTTGCTTCCTGAAAGCTTCTAGTTCTTAAAATATACCCTTTTGTCATAATTACTCTGTCACTGCAGACAGTCTAGGGAACATTCCTGTGCTGAGCCTAATTGTGAGTGGGTGTGCAACTAGTCTGGGCCAACGCTGAGCTGAGACTGCTTAGGAACCTGCCTCAGTTTTAGTAGTCTACTAACATCATGTGACTGAGCACTGGGTAAGAGCTGCACTCATGTCAAACAGGGGTAAAAAAAGAGTTATTTTTTGTTTTATACATTTATATGTCTTTTCCCTTTAAGGTGGCCTAGGAATGGGAAGTAAGTCTGCTGCCACCAGTCCTACAGGATCCCTCCATAGCACTCCCACTCATCAGCCTAAACCCCAAACACTGGATCCGTTTGCTGACCTGGGGACTCTTGGAGCAAGTTTAGCAGGTTTGCATCTCTTATTAAGTAAATAAAAGAATAAATTACCATCATTCTTTTAGAGAAATAGGCTGAACAGCCTGGTATGTGAGGGTCCTCTCAACCTACCTGCACACCAGTGCTGCTGTCAAGCTTTGCCTTCTGCCTGATCCTCTGGAAGCTCTCACAGATCTGTGGTTTTCTTGATCCTCTGTCAAAAAATCTGCTGGCAACATGCTGGGACCTCAGCTGGGACCTCCATGAATTGCAAAGCATAACTTCTGATAAGTCTAAACACACTGGCTAAGGATGCTCTGTGTTCAGCTTTGACTAGAGAACTGCTACTAACAGGCATGGGAGGAGAATTTGGCTGTTCAAAGCTACTGGGGTTCTAGAGGAACTGTTTCTTTCTAGACTTGACTCATTTTTGTGCTTTGTGAGGAAACCTGTGGAACCTCATTAATCTGCCTCTGATTTGCAGTATTTTTTAAAGGTGGAGCATTTGCACCTGGCTACAAAGGGCTGTTTGCTTGGTCGCTCAGACAAGCCTTTCCCCCTTGTTTTATCACATAAAACAATCAGCAAACCCTCAACTCCAGAGTTAAAAAGGCAGTTCTGAGAAATTATTGAAGTTTTCTTTAAGCCCCAGCATGTTGGCTTCTCTGACTCTGGTAAATAGATTTTTCTTCCCTTTGTCACTGCCCTCAGCTCTTTGGAGCCGTTGTGGTTTTGTCTGATGTTTGTTTTCCCCTTTGCGTCAGTACCAGCATGGTTCTGGAATTAGGTTTCCCAGTTCCCTCTGCTGGATCTCAAGCTGCTCTGCAGGAGCAAAATAAAAAGTCTGCCAAGACCCATGTCAGAGCCATGGAGGTGCTTTTAAAGCATGGATTCTGTAGGAAAGTTGTGGGGTTTAAAAACAAATGGCTTGGCATCCCCAGGACAAATAACCACATTTTGTTGTTCATGACTAAGTCTAAAGCACTTAATGCAGTTTCCATGACACATTTCAGAGCTCAGAGTCGAGCGTGGATGTCAGTCTCAAATAATAAAACATTAACACTGGGTACCTCCCACCCCAAACAGAGCCAGAGAAGCATCCCCTAAGTAAAAAGGTGCTGAAACACACAACTCTGTGGGATGGTATTACATCAGCACAGCATGAGGAAATAGAATTTCAACACATGTCAACTGGATGTTGGCACTGGCACAGGTTGCTCAGAGAAGCTGTGGCTGCCCCATTCCTGGAAGTGTTCAAGGCTTGGTTGGATGGGGCTCTGAGCAACCTGGTCTAGCGGAAGGTGTCCCTGCCCATGGGAGGGGGGTTGGAACCAGATGATCTTTAAGGTCCCTTCCAACCCAAACCATTCTGTGATTCTGTGTTGCCACCATACACACAGAGCTTGACTCCTCGTTAGCTACACACAACTTTTCCTGTGTTTCTGCAGCCACCCACTCCTCCAATTCCTGTACAATCCTCAAAGGCAGGTGCTGTCCTTTAACCAGCTCACCGAGCAATGACAGGGAATTTGAAGGGCTTTGCTTGATGTTGCAAAACCAAGTTCGTGGCAGAGCTGAAACCAGACACCTGGAGGATTTTGCTTAGATTCCCTTTTGGGAAGGCAAGTCAATACCCTATTGGTAACACCCACTATCCCTCCTTTCCCTGTTCCCTGCAGGTGGCCCTTCCTTTGCCAGCAAGCCAACCACGCCGACAGGCATGGGCGGGGGGTTCCCGCCGTCACCGCAGAAGCCGTCGCCGCAGCCCATGGGTGGGAGTGGTTGGCAGCAGGGAGCTGGGTACACCTGGCAGCAGGCTCAGCCCAAAGCCCAGCCCAGCGCGCCCCATGCCTCCCCTCCGAACAAACCCAACTACAACGTGAGCTTCTCAGCCATGCCTGGAGCACAGGGCGAACGGGGGAAAGGACCCGCTAATGTTGGTAAGGGCCACGGAGTTCCATCCAACAGGTTGGCTCCTCATGTTGATATAATGCTCAAACACCTTTGCAGGTTACTTAAGCAAGTAAGTCATGTTGATCACTTGATGATATATCCTGTCCTAGACTCTAAAGTGTGCTGTTATTTAGGAAATCCTGTATTCCAAATGGCCTTCAATAATAATCCTGGAAGTGTTCAAGGCCAGGTTGGATGGAGTGTGGAGCAAACTGACGCATGGGAAGACGTCCTTGCCCATGACAGGGTTTGGACTAGATAAGCTTTAAGGTCCCTTCTAACACAAACCATTCTCTGATTCCGTGATTCAATAATAATAATTTAAAAGTAAAATTAGCCTTAAGATCTTCTATGAGAATCCACATGCTCATTAGCACTGGGAGATTGTTAATGTGATTAAGTGAGGGAGGTAGCCTGTTATCACCCATATAGTGATAACAACTTCAAATCTTGTTTTTTAAGATTCCAAACCAAAAGTGTCTGCAGATTTCGAAGATCTATTATCTGGTCAAGGCTTTAATGCTCATAAGGACAAGAAGGGCCCCAAAACAATAGCTGAGATGAGAAAAGAAGAAATGGCGAAGGAGATGGACCCTGAAAAACTAAAAGTAAGCAAAATTCTTGGTGATGGTTTTACAGTCAATGTGTCATTCATCCTGAATAGATTTAAAACTCCAAGGTTACATTTCTGTCCTTAACCAGACCACATCAACTGTGTTGACACTCAGTGTTACTGTCTGGGCTGCTGGTCTTCCACATCACTCCAGCCCTGATTAGCAGGTGCAGCTAATTGAACTAATCCTCTGCCTCATTAATCTTGCCTGCTTTGGAATTCTCTCATCTCTCCTCAATAAATTGCCAAACTGCAGATCTATTGAGAAGGGAAGGAAATTCAGTCTGTCCTGCTCTATGTTTGAAATATGAAACCACAACTTCTGACTATTCCATCTAATGACTGAAGTGTTACCAAGTCAGTATTTTTAGCAGGGATATAAAAATTAATGACCAATTAGAGACAGACAAATGTCTTCCAAAGGTTTTCTAAAGCATGGAAAGAAATGTAAGCTTCTCCTTGGAGTCATTGCTATTCAAATGAAGAAACTTCGTCCTAGTGGAATATCTAATGTAAGGTGTAAATTGAGACACATTCCTTTCTCCAGGTTCTGGAATGGATTGAAGGGAAGGAGAGGAATATAAGAGCCCTGCTGTCCACAATGCACACAGTATTGTGGGCAGGGGAGACCAGGTGGAAACCTGTGAGTATGGCAGACCTTGTGACACCAGAGCAGGTGAAGAAGGTGTATCGACGGGCAGTGCTCGTCGTTCATCCTGACAAGGTAAGGCTCTCCTACTCTCACTTGTTCACACATTGCTGTTGTTATAAAATGTGGGGTGTATTGCTTAATTTATCATGCAAACAGCTTAGTAAAAGGCAGCTCATTATTTTTAATGATTTCTGAAAGCTGAGGACTCTCACCCCATCCCTGGAGGTGTCCAAGGCCAGGAACAAGATGAGCTTTAAAGCCCTTTCCAACCCAAGCCAGTCTGTGATTCTGTAACCACTCCTAGCCCCAAGACTGCTTGGTACCTGCTGCTCCAAGCAGCAGAGACTCAAATCTTCAGGTTTTGTCACCCTCACTCCGACTCTCAGCCATTCTGCTGGTGGACAACAGCCCACAATACCGTCCCTGCAAAAGGAGATTCAAATCAAACTCCTAAAATGGAACAATCAGGTTATCTGATCACCCAGCTTGTGGTTTTGCTGCTTACACTTTCTGATCAGAGTGCAATGACTCCACCTGGGACAACCTATGGTGAGGACTTTTAAGGAAAGTAAGACCCTGAGAGTTTCAGGACAGTGGGCGAGGCTTGGGAAGATGTAGGCTGCCCCAAGGCTTGCAGGAATACTGGTTTTATAAAGGAACTGTGTCAGGTGGCAACTCTTCACCTTCAGTGCAGGTAAAAGGCCTCCTGCAATGCCTGCGTTACATTTACTATGCCCTTGGGGCAGTGCTGTCACACCTGGGGGGTTGTGAGCTTTGAGGACCAGAAGAGCCAAGATATTCTTCAGGTGTAAAGAAGGTAAGCAGCCCTCCAGAGTAGCTCATTTTTGTCAAGGAATAAGTGTAAATTCATGGAAAGTGAAGAGTAACTGCTTAGGAATCGCCCTGCTCACATGTCAGCTGTATGTGGTTGGATTTGGTAGCTGTGATATCCGTCTCTCTGTTTTTATTCCAGGCTACTGGACAGCCATATGAACAATATGCAAAGATGATATTTATGGAGCTAAATGATGCCTGGTCAGAATTTGAAAACCAAGGACAAAAACCCTTGTATTAGGTACTCCACTACAGACCCGTGCTAGTGCTTATATAGTCTCTTGTCACAAATGTCACAGAACAACCAAACTCCGGCTGGAAATTCAGAAGTTTCAGAAAACTAAGAGCCTAATACTTATCATGAAGAACAAGAGAAAGGTTTCCTAACATTTGTCTCAAGAATCCTGAGCTCAGAGGAACTCTGGCCACCTGGCTCACCCTATGAGAGCCTCGGGGTTACAGTTTCTTGTGACTTTTATATTTTTCTTTGGATTCCAGTGGGAAGAGAGAACACATACTGGGAAAAGGTGGAATTGTTCTGTCTCCGATACAGTGTAGCTGGTGAATTTCCTACTTTTTTTTTTTTTGGTGATATGTGATATGGCAACACTTCAGTTGAGTTCAACAACTGATGGTGAAGCCCAAACTTCGATGTACTTTTTTTTTTCTTGGGTTTGGATCAAACTTTATCAATTTAAGTGCTCAGATGTGGTTTAGACACACTTCTAACCGTCACCATTTGCTGCTTAATTGCTCATATAGTGTAGTCTGCCTGAATAGAGCCAAAGCTGAATCCTGAGTTAGGTCAGCGTGGCAGCTGCCCGCTGCTTTATGCATTAATCCTGTACTTCACCTCACAGTCCAGCAGTGAAAGAAGAAATTCCTCAGCAAGTGTCTTTCAAAGCAAGCAACAAGTCATTAATATGAAACAGCACCTGGCTGGTTTGCTAAACAGCAGTTTTGGGGGGGAAGGGTGAACCCATGGTTGTAAAAGTGAGGAATGAGCATGTACTGCATTTCCCATGAAATCCTCACCAGCAGCTTGAAACCATCAAACAAAAAAATATCAACAAATTAAAGCTCTGCTGCAAAGTTTTAGAAATTCCCTAGTCTATAGGTAACATTTCCCCCTCCTGAGGATTCAGAAGACTTTTCCCAGCCCACTTGTATCACCTTTATGCCTTTATCAGCTTCAGAGCACTTGGCCAAGGCTCTTGGCAGGCTGCAACCTGTTGCAACTTCACCTTTCAGATCGTGGTGACCAGGTCTGATTTTTGAGGTAAATATAGTGCAAATTGATTCTCTTAAAAGTTTATATTGGACCAAAGTAGTAACATCACAAGGAAATATCTCTGATGCTAAAGCTGAAGCAGCTTTCCTAGTTAAAAAGCAAGTTCAAATTCAAACTTCACCCCAAATTCTGGCATTCTTTTGTAGAGTTACTAAAGGTAGCAGTTTATTTACCAACATGTTGTATCTGTATTTGAGGGATATTCAGCAGATGGGCAGGAAACTGTATTTACTGCTTCAGGAACAGGTTGCCATCTGATGTGAGTCTTTAAAGTTGGTGGTTTTTCAAGACAATCCACTACTTGTTGCACTTACATTTTCAAGTGGCAAAGCTATTACTGCAAAGACAGTGTGTCAAAGTACATTGCTTTCTGTATAAAACTCATCCTTTTGTTGTATTGGTCCATTATTTACTACCATTAACTGAAAATGTGAAACCAACACATAGGTCTCCTTTTATATAAAAGACCTTAAGATAATAGTAACAAACTGGATGTTATTTATTAATGTTTTGATCCAGTATGTGCTTGTCTTATTTAAAGAGATAACTGGAATGTGAATCATGTTCCTGTGATTTGTTGGTTTACTGTTTCTCATTCACATTTGTAGATATTGTGACCTATGCCTATATAATAAAAAGGATCTCATTACTATAATGTACTTTTCTAATGATGAAAACAACATTAGCTTTGTATGGAGTTTGTCATGGCACATAACTCTGGATTCTCATACCTTCACGAAATACAAATCCATCATTAAACTTTATCTACCAAAAAAAACCCCTCTGCCACTTAAGCTTTGATTACTTCCATCCCTAATGTTTTTATGGATGCATGAAAGTATTAGGACGTATGTATATCAAAATAGTTAACTAAAAAAAAAGTTCTTGTCATATCTGGTAGTGACAGAGGTTATCAATGTTCAGGTTTACTGTTTGACTCAATTATTGTAATTTTTGTAAATACGGTATATACTCAATGAAATTGTGACTGGTCTAAAACATTTGTACATACATTAAAGAGCTCAAATTAACATATTCAGGTATGTTTTGTGCTTGTGACCAGCCCAAAAGGTTAAAGTCCTACAACAGCTCCTGTGTGAGGGGTGGTGTGCCCTGGACAGGGGCAGTATTTCTGCTGTAAGTGGTCATTAATGCCTGTGGTTATCCACAGGTTGGCATTCTAGGTGCTTTTCCCAATTTAAGATGTTTTGGAAACAACTTGTCATTGCTGTACTTATGCTACTGTGCTTCAGAGACCCATAGTCAGGCAAGTCAGCAACCCCAAAATTTTCACTTGAAGCATTCAGCTGCTTAAGCCTGCTTTAATTAGCCTTCTTGGTTCAAAACTATTTAAAATTAACAACGAAAAATGGGAAAAAAATCTGTGTCAGAGAGATATGAAATGAGAAGAAATAAGAGGGAGAGGGGAGGTATCTGAAGAAAAGGCCCCTGGGGAGGGGTATCCAAAGGGCTGTCCAAAATTTCCCTCAAAAAGGCTGTTCTTGGGACAAAAAGGTTGTTCTTGGATCAAAAGGACTGTTCTCAGGCCGAAAAGATCAGTCTTAGGGCAAAGATAGGGTAGCTCTTGGGACAAAAAGGCTTTTATGGTGTCAAAAAGGTCATTCTTGGGGCAAAAAGGCAGCTCTTGGGTAAAAAATGTGGGGTCAAAAGTGGCATTTCAAAAATCTAAGGCTTGAAAAATATTTCTTTAAAAAAAACACACGTGCCCTTCTCAGTGTGGATTAGCAGAAGGGATGATGCAGACCCTGAGAAGGCAGTGCGTGAGATAAACAGGCGCCCCGGCCCGTTTTTTTGGGGTGAAAACGGGGTTTCAGGAGCACCCTGCAAAACGGCAGCGACTGAAGGGCGGGGGCTCTTTAAAACGGCGCTTTTGTATTCAGACCGCGGCTGTGCACACACATATATGCACTTATCACATACATATACATTTATTACACACCATAGATAAACTAAACACGTATATACGTGCGCGTATCCGCGCTAGCACCCGCGCAGGAGCCGCTCCCTCAGCAGACCCCGCCCCCTGTCTCGAGGATCCTCTTTTCCCGCCCCTCCGCCTTGTTAACGCGGGCGGTCACGTGACTTGGGGAGGCGTGGCCAGAAGGCGGAAGCCACCTCAGGAGGCCGGACATGGCGGGCGTCAAAGGTACCGAGAGCTTCTTCCCTCCCTCCCTCCTTCCCAGGGCTTCCCGCTCAGGGAGCGTCCAGGCATAGCCTCAGCGCGGCAGCTGGCGGCCGGGAATGGGGGAAGGGATGCCCGACCCCCGGGGAGGCGGTTCCCGGTCCCGCGGGAGGGATGCCCGTCCCCGCTGAGGTGGTGCCCGGTCCCCAGGGGGAAGATGCCCGGTCCCCGGGGGGGATGCCCGGCCGCCGCCTCACCGCCCGCCCTGTGCCGTTGCAGCTCTCGTGGCCCTGTCCTTCAGCGGAGCCATCGGGCTGACGTTCCTCATGCTGGGCTGCGCCCTGGAGTACTACGGGTGAGCGGGCCGGCTGCCTTCCCAAAGTTTCTCCTGCTTCAAATCTATTAATTGAGATGTTACTCTCGTTTAATTGAGCTGTTTGGCTCTTCCAGCAGTCCCCCACTTCCTGGCTCTTGACACGTGGCGGTTTGTTGTGATTAAAGGCCACTTCCTTAGCCGATATTTGCACTTCCATTAAAAAAAAAATTACTGCAGACAGCTCTGTGCTGTCTCTGGAAACGCGGTGCCAGATTGCTAAACAGCGATTTTTAACCTCGCACGGTCCTTTCCCTTAATTTCCTGTTTCTTTAAACCACCCTCCCACAAGGCTCCAATTGGGATGTCCCCGCCCAGGGAGGTTGGAACTAGATGAGCTTTTGAGTCTTTTCCAACCCAAACTGTTCTAGAATTCTGTGATTCTGTGTCTGTAACACTTGAAAACGCAGAGGAGGGTTTTGAGAGCTTTGACACAGAGATGGGAGTGCCGGGGTGTGCCTTCAGCCAGCTGGGTTATCCCTCTAATTTGGGAAAACTGCTCCTATCCTGCTCACGTTCCTCTTCCCTCTGTGGTGAGACTTGAATCAGCAAAGTGATGCAAATGTAAAACAAATTAACACTTGGTCGTGTGAGAGGGGTGGCTTCTGCTCTGTGAGTGCTTGTGCCAGGGAAAATGAGATGGGATTGCCACTTTTTGGGTGAAATCTTGTGGGTGATCCCCTTTTCAACCTATAAAGTGGGATTAGAGCTATTGCAATAATTTTTCTGACTGAAGCATCCATTTAACTGATTATACATTTCCTTTTTCCCCCTTCCCAGTGTGTACTGGCCTCTGTTTGTGTTGATATTTTACTTCATCTGCCCCATTCCCCACTTCATTGCCAGAAGAGTGAGTGATGACAGTGATGCTACCAGCAGTGCCTGCAGAGAACTGGCCTATTTCTTCACCACAGGAATTGTTGTCTCAGCTTTTGGATTTCCAATAATCCTTGCACGGGTTGAAGCAGTAAGTTCTTGCTAATTTTTAGTTTTAGACACCAGTTGCTGAGAATAATCTTTAAATGCACTGTTGCTGCCTGTAAATCCTGTCTTTAATTTTATTATTTGATGTCTCCAGATGAAAACAATCTGCTGAAGTTGTGTCAGTGCTGCTTTTTGACCTGAATGAAGGACTTGCATGACTGAAAATTTTTTAACTGTTTTTCTTTCCCCTGGATTTGTTTTGGTCTAATACAAGATAACATCTCCTCCTCCATCTCATGCCTCTGTATCTCATGACCCTTTGCACCAGCTTCCTTATTTTTATCTCGAAATGTCTGCTTTCTCCATTTAGGATGCTGAAAACTTGGTGACTGGAGTCCATTGTCAGTTAAAAGATAAAAGGCCAAACTTCCAGAACTGCCTTTCTGGTTTTCAAAGCATTTCCCAAGCTCTTGCTTTGTCCCCTCAGAGTCTGAGGAAACTCATCTTAATTCCTTTTCTCTTTACTTTCTGAGCTGCTCTTCAGGGGTGAGATTTTTGTCACATTTATTTGCCAAGCAAAGAATTCCCTTGTCCCGTCTCCCAAACTACCCAGTGACTTTTTTGTTGTGTTGTTTTTCCCCTTCAGTCTTTCAGTTTTTCTTGAAACTTGTATGCTGAGTTTGAGTTTATTTTTAATGTCCAATTTCCCTGACACTTTTGAAATCGTGGATCTGGCAGTAGGAGCTGCTAGATAGAAGCAGAATGACCACGAGAGGGAACTCTAATTCACAGCTGTCTCTTTTAGTGTTAAATGTTGCTTTTTTGAGTAAAATCAGTTGGACAAATTGTTTAAAGAGAGGCTATTTACTTTAAGGCCATTTTTTTAATGCTCGTTAGTTATTTGAAAGATGTTTTATTTTGTTGCACGGCAATCAAAGGAGAGCACTAATTTCATAACATTTATCTTGGATTTAGGTATGTTTTAATGATCTCTATGGCAAGTGGTTTTTTATTATTATTTTTAAAATAGTTATTTTACTTTATTATATTTGTATTTTTATATTTATTATTTATATTACGTATGGATTATTTATATTATTTATATATTTATATTATTTTCATTATTATTTGATTATTTTTATTTTGTTCTACATCAGAGCATTAGCCTGTTGAAGTGTTGTATTAGCAGTATGAGTGGCTGCTAATTGAATAATTAGCCACATAAATTAAATTATTTATTATTTGTCTTTATGCTTTTAGCACCTTCCTGTAGTATTTTTAGTTTCTCTAATGCATAGAAATATCTGCCCTGGACTTTGATTTGCTTTGATTGTTCCATTTCCTTGCATTTCAGATCAAATGGGGAGCCTGTGGCCTGGTGCTGGCTGGCAATGCAGTCATTTTCCTTACTATTTTAGGCTTTTTCATTGTGTTTGGGAGAGGAGATGACTTTAGCTGGGAGCAGTGGTAGGACTTCACTCTGGTGCTGGTAATATTTGCTATTTTACAGCCTTTCTCACCATACTCTGTGTATATGTATAGATATTATAACATGTGGTGCATAAACATGTAGCTTTATCAGTCCATAATGTGCTTTTTTATGATGCACTTCAGCCAAAGGGACAGTGGTGACAGTTGGCTTAAAGTATTCAGTCAAATCTGGAATTACTATTGCAAATTTGTCCTCTAAGTTTACAAAACAAGGAGTTTTACCTGTTTTTTCACTATCAATACATTAACTTTTGGGTCAATTGGTATTAACTAATATCACATTGATACATGTGACATTGGTCAACATTCCTGTTGGGTTTTGAACCATGTAATCAAAGTAGAACAGTATAAAGATTATCCTAATTGATATTGTTTAACTTGATCAATCTTTCTGCCTTGATTAGCGATGAGTTAATATTTAATTTCATCTGATGGATTGTAATTTTATTGTTTTTTTTCTTGATAACGTTAAATGAAACATAAATTATGCCAACTCACTACCTAATGAAAGCAAAAGGAAATAACCCTGGTTAAAAATCCTTCTTTCCATTTATGATGTTTATTTAAAAGATATTTTTCTCCCCACCAAGATACTCTGTGTCCCTATTCAGCTTAACAAATGGGGATATATTTGGGGAATAATATATTTTAGTGCTCAGAGCTGACATTACTTCTCTTATGAAGGTTCACGAAAGGAGAAACTGCTCTCAGGACACTTAAAATTACAATCTAGTGTTCAGTTCTTTATTTTTGAAATGCCTGAATTGCAAAGAATTGAGTGTTCTGGGTAGGACTTCTCGTTGCTTTTAAAACAGACTTATTCAATTACTATTTTTTGTCTGTAAAAAAAATTGTTACATAAAACACTATATTTTCAAATAGCATTATGCTGATAAAGAGTCACATCATCACACTTAGAAAAGTAAGTTTTATTACTGTAGTTTAGTGAGAATAGATTTCTATACAACCCAGAGCAAAGGTTCAAAATGGATGGATTTTCTGTGAACACTCAGATACTGGGGACAGAAATCATTCTGTGGTCCAAGTACTGGAATATGGCTCAAGTAGGAATGGAAAATCAGGTTTCAGGAAGGTTAATTCCAT